TAGTGCTAAACTTGGACATCACAGCAATAGTAGATAATGATTGACATTGCATTTAAATTTTTGAAGATCAAGATTTTTTCAGCATCATTGGTAGTCATAATTACAATTAAGATAGGAGATAAACTTCCAGTAATGGTGGTAAAATTTAAAACTGCAGTTTATTTACATTTTCACAACAAAGGTTTTGTATGTAAGGGTGTAAGTTTATTTTTTGAATATATCTGTAATATACCATACCTATGAACACTAATGGGTATGTTCCAATCCTCATAAATATGTTGGACACTATTGTAAGTTGGGGTAATATGATGTCTATGTAGTTCACCACTAGCAGTGGTTTACCTACTTCATACTGCTGGCGAGTATTGTATTTTGTTGATGTTATAAATATTACCATTTCATTTCCAACCTCTGTTTTGGTTATTCCTCATTGGGTAACCCTTTCTAGGTTAAAACAATATCTTTCCCTAGTAAAAAGGTTTATTATTTGAAATGTTCATTTTTGTAAAAATGTGCCTTATATAAAGGAAGTTCATACATTTTAGTAAATGTTATTACTCACTGTGTATAGGAAAGTAAGTACACGTTTTTGACTTTGATAAATTAGCATGTAGTTTCAGTTGTCATGAATCTTTTGAAGTCATTTTTCCCTTTTGGGGTAGAGGGATTTAGTTGTTGATGAGTACAGATTTATGTAGTTTAGCCATCATTTTTTAATTAACTGACTACAACTTATTGCAGAGTCTCATATATATTTGTTTTCAAAAGATATAACTTAATTTTATTATTATCATTAATAACTTCCCCTGGGTTCAGTAAGTATGTATGCCAAATCTGATAAACTCTTTCCAATTTTATTTATATATACATATATATTTTAAGACATTTTATGTTTATACATTCTTTTTATAGATACAAATATAAACATAAAATGTCTTAAAATAATTGTCAGACTTTGTCCATTTCATAATGTGTGACGTCATATATGTGTGTGTGTGTGTGTGTGTGTATATGTGTGTGTGTGTGTATCCATGTATTTCCCATTAAAAGAATTGATTTAAATATTTAAGCTTCTTTTTAAGAAAAATGAACTGGATGAAAATAATTTTTTTTTTATTTTCGTTGAAGGACTATCAAAATTAACCTTTCAGTATTGCAAGAAATTAGTGTGGTTTGTCAGCATACATTTTGCTTTATATAAATGGGAGCTCATGTGTTTGATGCTCACTTGAAAAAGAATCTCAGTTGATTGTTTCATAAAAATTAAAAGAAAGAGTAAGAACAAGTTTTTTTTTTTTATTTTGGGAATAAATATTAAAAGAAAATAAGTGATGTGAAAAGTCCAACAGAAACATGTCAATTTTTTTTTTAGTTGTTGTATGTGATTGTATATAAACCCACTTTTTCCAAAAATGACTAAGAAAATATCAACTGGAACTTGGAGTTAAATAAACTTGTAATATACCCGGCAGAAATAAGGGTCACCACAGTAGAGAGTTATGATAAGTAGTAGTTTGTATAGATAGGAGGAGAAGATAACGGCTAACCCTAGACTTGAACAGGTTAAGGTTGTAGTGATTGGGGAAACATCCTCTTGGGAGTCGGTTCCACAGAGTAGGTGTTCATGGGAAGAAGCTGTTCTAGTGGAACTTACCTCTCACTGATGGAATACTGAGGGAATGTGGGTGGTTTGCTATAATATAAGTGGTATGGCAGGTCCTATCTGTTAAGGTTAAATCTAGTGGCACCAAAGAATGTAATTTGTTTCAGCACTTTCCATAGAAGTAGTAACAGAGCAGCAATTGGCTTGCTCCCACCTGTGAAAGAGAGGTTGGAGGGGGGGATAATTTGTCACCCAAAAGGACTTGGAAACACTTTCGGACTCTATTGATACTGGAAAGTGAGGAGTTCCCACCCAAATATGACAACAGTACTCCATTTTCAGCCTGATCTGGCACTTGTAAAGGTAGAGGATAGCATGAGGTGTCAGGTACTTATGGGAGTGGTACAATTTTAAAAAATGTCATGCAAAGAATGAATTATTTTTTGGAGCCAAATTCTTCTCATTAAAACTTAAAAGATTTTCATTGAGGATTGATATAAAGCCTGATGAGAAACAATAATTTTCACAAATTCTTGAGTCAAACTTTATATATATATATATATATATATATATATATATATATATATATATATATATATGAAAATCATACCAAAAAAGCAAAAACCAGGAATGTGATAAAACAATGTAAAAAACTGAAGACAAAAATAAATAATATTTCTGAACCCAAATTTGGATTAAAATTAGAATGTGTCCATTAGTTTTTTTTTTGTTGTCATTTGTTATATATGTGGAAAAAATGCTATGGATTTGTAGTGAGAGACAAAACGTTATCTATTCTTGACCCAAAATAAAAATAACAACAAAAATAATTATAAATATTCACAAGAATAAAAAACAGTCATGTGACCTGATGAGACCTGTCCGAGAAATCATTAGGCAGGTAAATGAATCTTACTCTTTTTTTCTCTATGAAGTTATAGAAACAGGTTACACAATTTTATACTTGTGACAAACAAAACAGTTAAGTACAAAAATTCATATTGTTTTTGGTACATAGTCTCTTGCAAATAGATACATACTAATTTTGTATTATGAATTTCGAATATAAAAAAAAATATATATATATGCAAGTGTTTTTATACAAAGACTTTTGTGTGTTTGTTTGAACTTTTCATATATTTATGTTGTCGTATGTTTCATATCCTGCACAAAAGATTTTTCTCAGTTTAGACTGGCTGATACTTGTTTTTATGAAGGTATTTGTATCCAGTTGACACTGTAAGACATTTCTTCTACTTTGTATCACTCACAACAACTTAACTTACCAGACTGGTGTCAACCTCTAGCCCTTTACACACTGTCGTTCTAACTACACAGAAGTGACAGGAAGCAACTTCACATTGATGGTGGAAGTAGTCCTCATTTTGCAATCCAATAAATTGTTATTTGGTTTTCTTATTGAACAAGTGTTTGAATTAGAGGTTGAAATGAAAATAGATGGAAATTCAGAAACATAGTGAAGTATAGTAAAGACCTTACTGTTTATTTGTTGTTACCCTGTTGGAAATTATGAGTGGCTTTGTGGTTAACAGTGCAGAAAATGGGATCAGTTAGCTGAGTTAAAGCACTGGCTCAGAAAAATTTGTGTTCACTAACATCTTTAGGAAAAACATGAATCCATCTCTTTTAATCCTTACACCCCAAGAAAAACAATTAAGCCACAAAGGGTTACTGAGGATGACATACAAGAGAGTGATAGAAACTGGGAAAATGTTACTGAGGAGAAAAGACAATAAAAAGGAAAGGATTCAAGGAGACATTTAAATTCTTTTAGATTGTAACTGACAAGAATGCAAGAAGCTGGAAGAGAGTTCCAGAGGTAAGAAGAGTGAGAGAAGAAACTATTAGAATAGAATTTGTGGTTACATTTAGCAATTTTAACAGTAAAATGATGAGACATAACTGCCAATCTAGTACTATGCTTAAATTCATGAAATCAAGGTACTAAAGAGGGAAGCAATATTTATTTTGAAAAATACAAAAATGTGGCACAAGGCCAAAAGAAGAGGTTAGAAGAAGGCTGGTCTTCACTCTGTCTTATCTTAAACTTAGCTCGCCACAATAACTGACTCAAACATACCACAGTATTCTTTACACCAGAACAACACATTCTTACCATTCTAACTACAGCTACCATAATACCTCAAAGTCTGAATGAAGTCTGAACCAGTTCCCATATGCACAATCTGTCTGCCAGGGGATGGGAATAAAAATAACAAAAAAGTAAAGCTCATCAGAACAATTACCATGAAATTATTTATTGAAAAATCACAAGGAAGCTATATTATAATGGTGAGAAAGTGATTTAAGCTGATGTGCTAGATTAGGACTAATAACATTGCAGATTTTTCAGTATCTGTCTATATTTCTGAGATGAGGTATTATGTACACTATTTACATTATTCAGACTATTGTCCTCATCTTTGTCGCCATATTTATTACAATGTTTCAGCTGTTGTACACTCCAGCCTTCTTACTTGTGTTGTGTATGATACACCTAATTTACATAAGTGGAGTACCGACCTTATAAATATGGATTGGTACCGGAAGACGACGGAAGATTAAGAGATCGAATCCAGAGACTCTGCCCGACTGCGACTTAGTCAACCCATTCTGCAGGAACAGTCTTCCCAAGAATATACCAAAACTACCTGTAAATATTGTGTACCTTTTTTCATTGTTTCAATACATTTTGTTACGTACATTTTGTGTTGTATTATTATTATTCCATGCTGATTCAAGCTTCAACACTTGAGGACACATGGCACAGTGGATAAAGGCGTTAATTAGATCCAGTGATAGGATCCAAAAGAGTGTGAGTTCATACCCGGTTAAGGTAGTGGAGAACCTGGACAGGGGAATTAACAGGAGAACTATTAAACATGGCACATGGAACTAGAACAGTCTACCCCAGTAAGTGAAATAAAGGGTTCAGTTTGACATTCCAACCACCTGAAGAAGGCAGGAATGTACAACAGCTGAAATATGGCGACAAAGATGAGGACAATAGTCTGAATAATGTAAATATTGCAGATTCTTCTTTGGATTTTTCCTCAAGCTACAGTAAATAGCAGGGGAGCCTGTGCTCTTTTATTGTGGTTAGTAACTAGCAGTGTGTTGTAGAGTACAAAGAGCATAGTATGACATATATTGTGCCCTGATCATTCACTGCATCCTGGTCTGTTTCTAAATGATAACCTGTCTCTGGATCCAGACAGACAAGGATAAGAGAGAGTGGTTGATGGCGTGTGAAACTCCATGATTTAAATTCAAGTAAAGCACAAATTTAGATAAAGTTTTGGCCATCTTCAACTCTGAAGGATGAAAATGTAGGAACAAGTGTATGTTTATCATTGTCCTTAATCTTTGCTTGTATATGCCTGACTTTTTTAATGCTATCTTTCTTTTTTTTTTTAACTGGTAGTGACTGATATTGCAGCTGTAACAAGTAAAAACTATTTAGTCTAATTAGTTGTAATATAAGTCCACTGGTAACTTGTGTTGGTTATCAGTAATAAGCTTGGGGCATCATTGCAAACTCTCATGCAAAACACTAATGTTGGCTAATTGCCAGCATTAATAATTATTACTGCAAGGTATAATAATAATAAGTAGTGGTAGTAGTATGATATTACTAATAGCATCATCATCATCATCATCATTATTTATGTTTTTTTAAACCAAACATTTCTTTGCTTCATTTGAATGCTTCAAACGCAATTCAAAATATTAAATCCTCCGCCAATTCAGTTCTTCTCTTATAAATATTGAATACCAAGAAATTAAATCCTCCGCCAATTCAGTTCTTCTCTTATAAATATTGAATACCAAGATCATTTTAAAACAAAACATCATGACATACATATCATATATACTTGTGTTGAGATAACTTCATATATATTACAACCACTGATATTTTTTTCCATAAATCATTAAGATTCATGCAAAAAAATTACCATAATTCCCCATGTATTTTGTGATGTCAACAAACACTTGTTGCTGCTTTTGTTATATCAATGAATACTCGTCACTTTCATAATGTTCATTGTAGTAGAGACTTTGTAATCACAGATACAACTATAGTAATGCCGTTGAACAATACTGGTGTCAGACTCCTTCAAATAACACTCGCACTGACAGTACTTGCTCGATAATACTCGCTCGAATAGTAACCACCGAATAGTGATCTGTATAGAGAAATAGTATAGGGAATAGAGTAGAGAATAGTGATCCATATATTAATAGAGGAAAGAATAGAAAGTGTGATCTTTAGAGTAATAGAGGATATACTAGAAATAGTGATCAATTAGACACCATACTAATTCCCATATATACATTTCCTTTGCAATCATGTGGTCTAATTATTAGAAATGGAAACACCCATGTTTGCTCACTGATGATCTGTGTTTAAACCCAAGTGTCAGCAATGACACTTTATTCCTATACAACAATGTATAATATGCATTTTTTTAAAAATAATAAGCAAAATTAATGGTGTGTATTATGCATAGCTACAAAAAAATCTTTAAAAAATTGCTGTTTCATAGGTCGATTTCAGTTGCGAAATGACTACTCACCACAAACGTGACAATTTGACACTAACATTCGGCGATTGTGACTCAATAAATATGTCAAATACAATTATATGTACCTAACAATACTTACAAATGTAAAATAAAATAAGAATTATCATAAAACTAAATCAGAATAATATTTATGTTTAAAACCATTTATTTTAATAAGTGTAGGAAACACTGGACATAATGAAATTGGAGAGGTACAATAGGGTTTGATTACCAATCAAGGGATGTGTATTATGCATGAATAGAAGCATTTTCCACACTTTGAGCACAATTTTCAGAGTGTGTATTATGGATGAAGGCATATTATACATGGGGAATTACGGTACTTTTGTATAGTGCAACCAATCACCAAAAATACATGATTTTTAACCTCTTCAAAAAAAAAAAATTACCTGCGCCTTGTGTTACACTTATGTTTTGCATAAAAGACTGATAATAAAAACTTGTACTATATTTGAGTATATATGGTAAAATGGTTCAAAGAAGCCCTTTTTTACATTTTTATTCCTTTTTATTCATGTTATGTTTATGTGAAAATAGTGTAATGAATGTTGATATAGAAAATGGAATCAGTGAACCAATTTAAAATTCTGGCCCAGCATCTTTCTCTGAATAAAAAATTCTTAAAATCTAAAAATATTTTCTGGCTTTAAATAACCTGCAAATGGTTGATAAACCATAGAAAACAAATTAATCAATCAACTAGCCTCACTTCTAAGTTTTACTCAAATGCCCTTGCAAAATGCATGAATCTATTTCATCTACTTCCAGCTTGAGGTTGAATAGCAGTTTAGAGTGGAGTCTCTAGCTTTGGGTGGCAACCAGTTTAAGAGAAGGAAAACTTTAAATCACAAGCTATGGAGAAGGCAATGTGAAAGCATTCTACTATATTTCCCAAGAATGCATGGAAATTCACAGATAAAAAAAAATGAATCTATGGAAAGCTATGATTACCTCCATCCTGCAGGGATATGTCATTTCTAAAAAAAAGAAAAAAAAAAGGTTTATTTGAAATAATTTAAGTTTTGGATTCTTTATTCTTATTACATTTTCATATTCTCTTAATTTTTCATTTTTTCGCCAAATTTTCAGTTCCTAATTTGAAATATAATTATACAACAGCTGGATATATAAATAAGAAAGTAGAATTTTACTATACTTGGCCATTAAACATTAAATGATTGTATCTGAGTTTCTTTTGTGTTAGAAATTCATTAGAAAGTTTGTCAATAATTTAAAAACTAGAAATAAATAAGGCATTTTTGGGGACATTTTGCATTTTGTTTTGGAAATTTTTTGATTAAATAGTCACTTTGAAGACTTAGAAAAACAAATAAAACCTCTGTCCCAGAATAGTTGTTACATCTGCAGACACATTTCATGCAATAAATGTAACAATTATTATGGGACAGAAGTAAAATAAGAAAATTATGGAAATTAATTTAAAATTTAGAAAATTCTACTTATAGGAATTTAATCTTTTTAACCAATTTTGTATCAGTTCAATTTCAAAGAGACAATTTCAAGTATTTTTTAATTTAAAAAAAAAGAGAAGCTTTTTTGTTTCTGAATGCAGTTTCTGAAATCAATCCCTTTAGCTTTGAGTGATTATAGTTTGAAATTATCAGTTTTTTCTTGGTCTGGTGGTGGAGTGAAAAAGGAATAATAGTTATATCCTACTATATATATATATATAATAAACAACATATATATCTATATATATCTCAGTCTTTTCTTTTCTATCTATCTATCTGTCTCAGTCATTTCATATCTATCTTTGTCCTTTTGTATCTATCTGTCTATCTTTGTCTTTTCATATCTATCTATCTCTGTCCTTTCGTATCTATCTGTCTCTGTCCTTTCATATCTATCTATCTCTGTCCTTTCATATCTATCTGTCTCTGTCCTTTCATATATATCTAATATATATATGTGTGTGTGACAGACAAGGAAAATTTGATTAATTTTTTATTCAGTTTTTTCCAAAATTCTTACATTTTTTTCATTTAGTGGGAGTAATGAGTGCCAAAAATTGTCCATTGTCCCAACTTTATAAATTAATTAATAAATGTTCAATCAAATTATCACTTGATCAACACAAGAGTTTCATGCAATACAATTCACCAGAGTTAGAAGGTCCAATAAATCTATTGAATTATTAATCTTAAGTCTATATATGCATAAAATTTGTTATTTTGTGCAAGTACTCTGTCTCTACCCAATGACTATTTTCTCACTTCAAAAGATTCATCAATTAGACATTTTTTAATTCTGATTTTTATTAAAAAGTTTGGACCATTTTTCAGTCAGATTTTTCATCTTATATTTGAAATTTCAGAATCAGTTATTACTATCAACATTTTTATTCTCACTGAAATTCTCATCAGTATTTTGTTTTTGTCAATATTTTGGTTGGACACTGAAAGGACACAGTACATAGAAGAAAAACCTTCCACAGGTAAACAACCTGTTTAAATTGTCTTAAAATAGTCATATTGCTGAAGAATAATTCAGGTAAAAATATTAAAAAAATATATAAAGATGAAAGGATTAAACAAAAAAAATTAGTCTACATTTCTAAGATGAGGTGTTGTAATTATTCACACTGTTTGTACTGTTGTCCTCATCTTTATTGTCACATTCAAAATGTTTCAGGTGTTGTACGCTCAGAGCATACATCTGCGGAAATGTTGTGAATGTGACAATAAAGATGAAGACAATAGTCTGAACAATGTAAATAAATAAAAAAAAAGGTAATGAATTGTTCTTTCAGTCAGAGCATCAGAAACCACTTTTATGTCATAATATTTTTTTTTTAAATTGTAGATGATTATTTTAGAAATGGGAGCTCAGATAATATGATATTCAACTATGTTTTTTTTTTATTTCTTTTGATCCTTTCAGGATGTAAGCAATCATGGCTCTTCACTGTATTCTTTTTTAATTAGCTGTGAATTGCTTTGCAACTGCAAATAGTTTTCCTTAAGAGAAAAAATATAAACACAGCCTATTATGAATATTTGAATGATGTATTTCATAATGTTATAAATAATAATAATAATAATAATAATAATAGCAAAATAATTATTAATATTTTTTTTCATTGTTGTTTTTTTGTAAAAGAATAGGAAAAATTCCTTGAATGCTAAATCTTCTGTTGATTAGTTCTCTCTTTTGGTAAGTGTTTGCTAACAGAAAAATAGAAAGAAAAAAAAAACAAATCAAAACAAAAAAAATGGAGGGGTAGAGGGAAAAACAAAAACAAAACAACAACAACCAGTAGCATTTGGTACCTTGCCTCTGTGTGTCTGTTTGGTAGGTCTTTGGGTTTTCTCCCACCTCCCATACCGACCTCACTTCTGCTCTTGCTTAGAGGATCCAGAATCTGGCAACCCAACGATAGAGAGAAAGAAAGAGAGAGAGATAAAGAGAACGAAAGAGAGTAAGAGAGAGAGAGTGACAACATACAAGAGGTTCCTCCCTAAAGCTAAGCACAGTGCCTGTTTGATAGTCATGAGAAAAGCTGTGCCAGCAGCACACTTTGAATAGCAACTACAGATGTGATCATAGACAAGTGAGCAAAAGGTAAAGGGTCTCCTCTCTATTCCACTAAGCAAATGCCTATAATGGAGCTAAAAACTAAGTATTTCGGAACCGACTATGGAGTTTATTCTTTTGAGGACTACCGTGGAACTTTCATGCCACTTCGACCCAAGAAAGTGGTCACTGTCCTTTCCACATTAGTGGGAGAATTTCGCAACAGATACATCTCTGGGATCTCATGGTACCACTGGGTAAGTCTCTTTTTATAACCTTCTTTTTTTTCCTTTTTTTTTTTTTTCTAATGGGGCTGATAAGACTTGTAATCTTTTTAATAGATAATCTGTTGTGATATTTACATGAATCTGTTAGGGAAGAGAAAATTGACAGTTACATACGGACAGTTCTTGAAGGGAGAAGATAGGAAGAAGGAAAGAAAAATAAATAAAGAAAGAAATCAAAAAAAAATTTGATGATTGCAAAATATTTTCTCGGGAAAAGTAAAAAATATTAGCTTTTGTTAAAGTTGTTTTTTCATCTCTAAGAACTATGATATCTCATAAGCAAAAATGTTCTGATTGAAAGAAAAATATATTTTAAGCTGATATATATCATGTTCAATTGTTTTTTTTTGTTTTAATATCTTTGGATTCACTGATATTAGTTTTTTGTAACCAGATAATGAGAATTTAGGAACTTATAATAGAATTACGTACACATTACAGAGGTTGGTTAATGAAATTGATTATACTTTTATCAGAATTCAATATATGAGTATTAAGTTATTGGAAATGGGATATTTGATGAGCACCTCATTTCTATAATAAAAGAACTCTGCTCATCACATTGGTGAACACAGTCAATTATTATACTAATGTTAATAATTAAGCTATAAATATAAAATTTTCACAAATACAGACTCATCTATATAAATATATCTACCTGTCTGTCTATGCATGCATTATATATATCAGCCTGTATATGTGTATATATATATATATATATATATATATATATATATATATATTTATATATATATATATATATATATATATATATATATATATATATATATATACAGTGGAACTTCAATTTAACAAACAAATAGTGGAGGGATCGTCTGTTAAAGCCGTTTGTCCATTAATTTGAAGCAACTTTTTTGTGGTCTAACAAACACCCAGTACAGTACAAAATTATTGTAAATAAATGTAAATACAGTATATATGTATGTGTGTTTTATTTTTAAGTTACTATATAACTTTAAATAAAGTTTGAAAAGTTTTAAAGTTAAATCTGGAGTTCATTGGACTGTTAATTCGATGTTTTACTATATATATAATTTGTGTTTGTACATTATTTAAAATTTGCTATATTTTTTGGTGGGTGGTGGGGAATTTCTCAGCATTGGGGTTAAAGTGTTTGTAGAGATACCATATATACTAAAGTATAGTTCAAGTATTTCTGATCAGTTTTTATGCAAAAGAGATTAAAAATCATGCATTTTCAGTGACTGGTTGCACTATACACAAATAAATTCTTTTTTTGGAGGGTGGGGTTAAAATTCATGTCAAATAGCTTCAGGGGTTGCACTATACCTGAAGTCAGCTTATACATGAGTATATAAAGTAAACAGCATAGCCATAGAAATCAACACTGCATGACAACTGTCAATTTCTCAACTTTAAGCTAATCCTCACGTGATAATGCTCTCTGATGTTTATATGTAAATATCTCTCTGTATACATGCACACATACAAACTCACATTATATATAAGCACACATATATACACTGTCATATTATATTTCATATTTCAGCATATGTATAGATACTTTGACCTAAGCACAACTGTTATGCACTTATATATTCAATAACAGTGCATGTAAATAAAAGAATTACTTAATCTTATATTGGAAAATATATACAATAGCATGTGTTTGTATATAAAAGCTATTTACAAAAAGCTAAACTAAAAGATGTATTTATTTAGAGGCTTATTTAGGAATATATATTTTTCACTTAAATCATGAAAGAAGGACATGTCTAAGTGTTTTTTTCCTGTTGTTGTGTTTATCAAGGATTCACATCTTAGCAGTTAAGCAATAACACTAAAAGTTATAAAATATGGGGGTCAATTTTTTTAGTAGATATTTTACTACTGTTGCACGAGAAAGATTTATAGAGAGGGGTTGGTTGCCAGTAGGAAGCAAAGTCTAAAAAATAATATTTATTTATTTATTTTTTTTCACTAATTAATATTCTTTTCATTTAGAAATGCTGAATTTGTTTCTTTTTTAATTAATAAATTAATTAGCATAATTACATTGGGGGTGGGTATTCTACTTTTTTATCCTCAGTAAGTGAAAAAAAAATTTATTTTAACTTTAATATAAGATATCAAATCAAAATAACTGAAAAATAGTTCAATTAAAATAATTTAAGGCTAGAAAAATAACAACCAAGTTTAATATGAAAATTATAATACAGGTACACAACAAATTCTCTTGCACCTTTCATTCCACAACTGTGCCAGATTATCCATTGTTCCAGACCAACGGAAGTCACATAATAACACTTCAACAATACACCCCTAACCTATTTATTATGCATCTCTTGCATTATTATCAACTGTTAGAAACTTACATTAAAGTATTATTAAATGTGAATTATATGTGATTTAAATGATTGAAGTCATCTGGCAGTTGCATGTAATTTTATCTGGATTAAAAGAGATGACTGCCGAACTATCATTTTACTGGAAAAATGATTGTGTGCCCCTTTTTAAGAAATTTAAAAATTATTATTCTCAGATTAAAATTACAACAAAAGGAAAAGTCATGATGATCTATTGCTATTTATATAAATAAAAAACTTTTATATTCTAGAGAAATTTCAAAAAAGCTTTTATATATATATATATATATATATATATATATATATATATATATATATATATATATACATACATACACACACAGGGTGTGGCAGAAATACCTCCCATATCATAAACTGTCACTTTTTAATTATTATTAATTAGTAAATTATGAAAGTTCATTTTAAGGTTACTAGAATCTAAAAAAAGATAACATATATGAAAATTTTTTGTTTCTAACCCACCTTCCCACAATCTGAACAAATGATCGAGCATCAGAAATAAAAAAAAAACTTTTTTTTGTGGGTATGGCATCATAATAAGAGTTGAGAACTTTTTAGCACCCCGAGTAATATTATAATTTTAAACAGCAGCAAGATGGAAAAATTTATGAAATGTGATCTTCTTAATGACCTGAATGCATCTTGAGAATGAGTCTGCTAGTTTTCTTTCTCACAGATGACTGTTTTTTATATATATATATATATATATATATATATATTTGGTTGGGTAGATGTGAGTCACATCTATCCAACCAAATATGTTAGCTCTATCTCTGATATTGAGCACTTTCTAATAAGTACTGCGCATATAATATATAAATAATTATACATACTTATATTTATTTATATTTATATACACTTTTCACACACACACACACACACACACACACACATATATATATATATATATATATATATATATATATATATATATAATATCCAACGTCAATAACACTATTTGAGTTTCATGCAGTTAATGCAATCTTCAGGTGTGAATTCTAACCATTATCATAATGTTAGATAATGGTCAGTATTCACACTTGAAGATTGCATTAATTGCATGAAACTCTGAGTAGTGTTATCAATGTTGGATATTATGTATATTCCCTAATATAGCTCTGTTTCATAACATTGAGCACTTTATTTATAACACCTTAAGAATAATATATTTACATACGTGCAAGTACTTATGTGTGTATGTACATGTTTTCCTACCCATTCTTATATATATATATATATATATATTTATATATATGAGAAAAGGTAAGGCATTCATATTTAATTAATAAACCATATGGTGAATTTTATTAATATTTCAATGTTTATTTGCATTATTTTCAGAAAATTTGATTAAGAATTTTCATTTTATTTAAGAGACTTTAAATGTTAAAAAAAAATCATTTTTTTTATTTTTAAACAAGAAAGATATATAAAAATGATTCCAATGCTATTTATGGGTTACAAATTAAATAAGTGGTCATTTTGCAAAATAGAATACATTTTTTTTAAGTCAGTTTGTTAAACATGAAGACATTTTTGTCTGTAACTCTTCTTTTTCTTTAAAATTATGATCTGCACATTTTTTAATACTTCAACACAAACTTTGAAAACCTTGCAGTACTTTCAGTGACACATAATTTTAGTAGATTGGGAAGGGAAGGGTGAAAGCTGAAGAGGTTTGTGTGTGTGGAGGAAGCAGACAAGTAAATTAAGTAAAGAAATTTTTGCAATGTTTCTAAAATTCCAAAGACATGTTTGTCAATGTAGATATTACAGAATTTAAAATGATTAAATGTAATTATTGAGACAACTTACTAACATAATCTAAGCCTAAAGTGTCCTACACACACTATTGTTTAAAATTTAGCATATGTATAGAGGAAGAGGGCTCATTCTCTGAGTGATAGATCATCTGTCATATATATATATATATATATATATATATATAGCCATCCACAGACAGACTGTTTCACTATATCACAGCACCCAGTTGAGAGGAAGGCTAATTTTTTACGTACTTATTCCTTGAATAAACGTGCCAGTGACCAAGAGGGCTCAGTTCATGGAAGAGTTTTGTAGTATTAACAATAGTAGTCATTGTTTACAAACTCGTGCTTTCTCCCAAGAGTGCTTGACTGGAATTAAATTTTCTGGGGGCATATATATATATATATATATATATCGGAAGTTCATTCATTTTGAGGTGGCTTTCTTTTAAGCACTGAACCTGTGGCCCTGAAATTTTCAACCCATAGCAGTATCAATTTTCTATCTTGAACAACATCATATTGACGTAACATGAAATGAGTACGAAATTCTCTTTGTGTTGCAATTACAAATTCACCAGTTTTCAAAAACATTTCAACAGCAAACACGTGGTATGCATCAATCCAAGCCATGATAGTAACTAAAGAAAATGGTAGGACATTAGCTGGTTTAAGGCACCATTGCTGCTTGTCTAAGTTTACTAGCACCACACAGGTGACAGTTTGAAATGTGGGAGGTATTTCTGCCACATCCTGTGTATGTATCTCTCTCTCTCTCTCTAGATATATATATATATATATATATATATATAGAGAGAGAGAGAGAGAACTGACT